TTTAATCAATTATTATGTGATAACCAAACCAATCCAATTGAAATCAGATCAGTGTAGTTCGGTCGGATTAATCGATTTTTAACATTATTAAATATATAAGATAATGTAAAAATATTTTAACATCAAATAGAAAGTATAATTATAAAATATATTAACATTCAAATCAGTAAAAACATAATAATAGGTAAAAATTATAAACAAATTCTTATACTTCTTTATATTTGTAAAAATTGAAAAACTCTGAAAATTCTTTTTGATTACAACACTAGAGGCACCAAAAACAATAAAAAATAACTTCAAATTTCTAGCATAACATAAATAATTCTTGAAGACTAAAATTAGTTTTGTTTTTCCTAATGCATTAATAATTTAATCTCATTTTTTAAATCCTGTTAAAAGTGAATAACATTTAACATGAATATTACTAAAATTGATTAGAAGCATTCATAATCAAAATTTAAAACTTCTAAAACAAATATCCAAAAATAGTAGAATATCAAAACTAATTTTATTATATAGTTTTAAGGTTTTTAGAATGATATTTATTTAAAATTTAGTTAAGAGAATCATAAGATTATTTTAAGAATAAATTAAAAATTTAGGATTCTAAAAGTAAAGGTACAAATCAGTTCTGAAATGATAGAATTGCAGGTGAATTAAAAATTTAGAATTAAGGTTAGAATGCATGATTAAAATGGAGAAATAACTTAGAGAATATAGAGATGTTCTATTTTTATTTTTTTAATTAAGTTAATGGAGTTATAATCTTGTAAAATAAGAAAAAAAATTTAAAATACTACAAAAAATATGTTATATTATTTAATTAAATTATCTTCTAATCGGATTTTATTTTGTAATCGAGCAGTTTGGGCGGTTTGATGGTAAAACCATGAACCAAACTAATTATATCGATTTTAAAATTTTAAAATTCAAACCAATCCAATTTTATATCGGATTGGATCGATTTTTGATTGGATTGGATCAGTTTAGGTTGGATTACTCAGATTGGATCGGATATGAACACCCCTAGTCAATACCAAGCGCCCTTAGACAAATCCCACATCGGTGAGGCATGTGAGGGATTTTGGATTTATAACTACAAACCCACCACCACCCTAGTGAGGCTCGTTTCAATGGGTGCAAGCAAATAATATAGCTAGTGGTGTTTGGGTGCTTTGACATAGGATGTTACAGTTGGTATCGAAGTTGCTCATGTGATTATCGGTTTGGTAGTGGGGCAAATCTCAGGTTAAAATGTAGATTGTGGGAACATGCTATGAGTTTTTCTTGATGACAAGTTTTTTTGCAAGACATGTACGTTGGTTGGATACCCCACCCCTATGAATAAACGTCCTTTGTTTGCCGACGAAGAAAGAAAAATCCTTGCCCGTGTAATTTGGTTGTTAGCTGCTGATATTTATTGACTGTGTATTGCTACACTTGATTGCCGAAAAGCCAAGAAAGTTGGTTCTATTTTAGAATTATTTAAAATTTAAAGACTTTTTGCAAATATTTCCTAAACCCACCCTAACTTTTAATTTTTTTTTAAACCACTTTGTTCAAAAATTATCTCTATAAAATTTTAACATATAATAATTATGTTTTATGAGATTTTATAAATGTTTTCGTTAAGTGTAAAAAAAAAAAAAGGGGAAGAAATGGGACTACTAAAAGGGTAGAAAGGAGTATTATTTTGCTTGAACTGCTAATCGAAGGACAATATTTTATTAAGAGCATTGCTTCATGCGCTCTACATTCTATCTGAGTACGTAAATACTCAACACAAATAGCATCCAATCGATGCAAAATGTTATACTCTCTTTTATTTTAAGGAAATTTAGTTAGATATTTTAACTTTTTAAATATAAAATTTAAATAATATTTTAACATATTATATAAATGATAATTAAATTTTTTTATCAAATAAAAATATTTATAAAAACTTTAAATAAAAAACTTTTTAATTATTATCCATTTAAATTATTAAATTTTTATATAAAACTTATATGTAAAAAACTAAAATTAAAACTATTAAAAATAAATTAATAAAGTATTCATTTTATAAAATAAAGTTATAAAAAAAAAAAAGTTTTTTACTCCACGCCAATCAAATGCGGAATGCACGGACACACCCGCGGAATGTCGGTATCATTCCTCTGATATTAATTATCGGAAAGGAAGATAAGGCTTATTGAAAGCACATAAGACTTGATGGAATCGATCGTACTGGAGTCCAACAGAAATTTGTATGATGGATATTTGTTCAGGGATCAAATTAGCATCCATCAATTTATCAAGTAACTTGCTCGACCTGCTTTTTGTCTTAGCCTCAAATTTTGTCGGTGGGCAATGATTTAGTCATATTGTCTTTTTAATATCTTTCTTAGGTGTTCTCTTACACACA